GCTGATCAGTAAACATCATTATACTCTGGTCTAAAGTCCAACAGCCATATCAGACAGAGCATATTTAAATAGATAAATGGTTTTAAGCGTCTTTCTCGAGAGATGCAAATGGCAGCATTTCCATTTGACACAGAACAGTTAGCGCGCCGCTAATCTAATGAAGGAGATCTGAGAGAGGGAGAGCGAGGACCGGATCTCATCGGCCCCACCTCGATTCCTCAGAACTCACCCCCATCCACAAACCAACATTAAACAACAGGTCGGCGCTCTGGAAGAGTCCGTTTGGACTCGTGGTGCTGGGTGATTCCTTAATGATCCATATAATCCTGGGACGCAACTACAGAATCCACGTGTAAGTGAGAGACACGAGTGGAACGGGGAGTAGAAGGTTGAGGAATTAAGGTACTTAGGGTCTATAGTAGGGATGCAACGATACCACTTTTTTCCAAACCGATACGATACCGATACTTGGATCTGAGTACTCGCCAATACCGATTACTAGGGATGAGCCGGATACTCGCTTCAGACGAGTATCCGGTACGGATAAAGCATTATTGACGAGTACGAGCATGAAACGAGTAAAACTCGTAAATATCTGTAATCGTGCTGAAGGAAAATCCTCATTGGGTAACTGACTGTCTTCACGCTCTGTGATTGGCCAGTCAAATAGAGTGCCCGCCCCTCCCAACAGACAAAACTCTGCACCGGGAGCTCAGTCCGCGTCCGGTCCATCCACGCACACACACAGACAGTAACGGATCTCTCTGTGCTTGCTTCACTGTTCACGTTTCTTCAGTACTCCCTAGGGTTTCTTCAGTTCGCCTCTTTTTAAAGTTACTTTAAAGATATTTAAAGTTAAAATTTTCGTAACGTACGTGGTGCATTTGACAAGACAGAGCTGAAAATGGCTCGTGCTGCGTCAGTCACTTCCTCCGCTCCGGTCGGGTTTTTTTCCTCTCTCTCTCTCCTCCCTCAGGATCCACTCCCTCTTTCCTATTCACTCATTCTCTCTCTCTTTACATTTTTTAATCACAATTGTCTTATTTTTTGCTCATTTTGAACATATTTTAATAATTTTCTAAATTATTTTTTTCTATTTTACGTGTTTTGTTTTTGTGAAGTGCCCCATGATTTTTATCTTTAGAGGCCTTCTTCTCTCTCTCTCTCTTAATTCCTGCACTTAAATATTAATGTTTTGATTTGATTGAAAAACTTGTTCTGTAATAGTTCCTTTACTATCGTGATCAAAAACATTTAATCTCAACTCTGAGGCTGCTCTGTAAATAGTTTTCAAATAAACAATACACATAGCAACTTCTGATCAGACTTAAGATAACGTATTGGTTAAACCACACCCATTTCCGGGTTAGGCCACGCCCACTCCGAGTACAGATACGGATACAGATAATTTAGATGGTTGAACAGATACAGATACAGATAGTGGTGTACTCGCTCATGCCTACCGATTACCAATACCGATACTTCCACCACAAACAAAATGCAATGATTTGGAATACAGATTTTAATTTCTTCTCTGCTTTCAACAGGAAAAGACTGTGAGGTAGATGAAAAGTAAAATATATGAATAGAAATCATCACAAAACTAAAATATTAGGTGAACAGAAATGACAAGTTACAGTGAAGCCATTTTCAAGCAACTGCATTGGTATCGGTTCCTGGTATCAGTTAACTTTTACCGATACGATACTGGTATCGGCACCGATACCAGTATCGTATCGGTGCATCCCTAGTCCATAGTCCAAAGCTACAGAGAAAAAAGAGATGAACAAGCAGAGAAAAGTGTCAGGAGTGATAAAACGGTTTCAGCAACAATGAAAGGACGGGTGAGAGCAGCCATGTTGTCTGGTTTAGAGACAGTGTCCATGAGCAAAAGACAGGAGACAGATCTGGATGGATATCAGAGGGACAGCTCATGTTAGATGTCTGACTCATGCCAGCGAGGACAGACTGAGATGGTTTGGACATGTCCAGAGGAGAGACAGTGATGACATAAGCAGAAGGATGCTGAGGTTGGAGCCGCCAGCCCGGAGGTTGAGAGGGAGGCCAAGAAGGACATTGATGAGGACATGAAGTGAGCTTCAGCTCAAACTGTACGACTTCCTCGCAGGGCAGATCTCACGAGTCATGTGCTCACACTGTACGACCCAGTTCTCGGATGCGACCTGACTGCTCACACTGTACGTCTGGTAGCAACATGTCGGCCCTAAAAAATGCTAAAAATAGCCGTTTTTACACAACATGTCAGACTTTTTTGTCTTGCCTGTTGTCCTTCGGGAGTGCTGCAGGAGGACACACAGGGATTTATGGGGGTTGGATGAGAAAAACGAAATAAAGAAAGTAAATCTGTGTTTAGTGATCAGTTTAATTTGACATGAACACGACAAACACACTTTCTTGACAATCTTTGTGAGTAAAAAAACGTGTAGAAACAAAAACGAACAACGTGTGTTATTAGGGAAATAGCGGGCGAGCGGTGTTGATGCAGGATTGCGCATGTGCCGTGAGCGGTTCTGGTACATTTTGGGTCGCAGCGCCGCTTCAACAGTGCGATACCCTCACGAGGGACGAGCGAAATATCAAACACGCCAGAAGTCCGTGTGAGCTCACGATTGCTGATCGGTAGCTGGTCACGTGGTGTTAATCGCCTCTCGTAACCCCCTGTACACTACACCACGCTCAGCCCAAAACTCACCCCGATCTCGTGGATTCTCGCACGAGTGGAAAATCGGCTCAAAAAAGTGAAAAAGTCGCACAGTGTACGCCCGGCAGACACCTGAAGGGACACGACCACATGGAAAGAAGAATAAGTCTTCTGTGTAGCTGGTTTAAAAACTCACAGACATTTTGGGACATAATGACCCGTGTGACCTGTCCCACTACAAACCAGTTCAGGACATTTTCATCATTGTGTCCTAACTGGTCACCAGTCAGAAGGTGGAGATCTTTTCTGTTTGCATTTCTTATTTTGAGATTTTAATGTTTGCTTTTGAATCCCAATTTTAGGAAAACGAATCCGCTTGAAGAGCGCTCCAGTTTTATATGATGCGTTAGAAACAGGAATCAGCCCTCGCTGCTGGCTGGAGTTTTGGAGATGAGCAGATCTCTCCTCTCAAACACACCAGGCAGGATGGCCCTGACCCCTGCTGACCCCCGAGGGAGAGGGAGGAGGGGGAGGGCTGGATGGAGGGATGGATGGAGGAGGGGGAGGATGTGGAGTGACAGTGGGGAGAAGCAGGAGGAATGTGAGATTACAGCCACTATCTGCTGCTGATACTGAAGGTCCGTCTCCTCACTCCTTCAGTCCACAGATACGAGAGGGGAGAGGGGAGAGGGGTGAGGAGGGTGAGGAAGAGGAGAAGGAAAATGGGTTTTAAAAGTCTGGATGGGATGTTTTCCATATGAATACAAACCCCTTAAACTCACAGAAACAGACATCACAGTTTGGAGAAGAACAAAAGGTGATGGGTGACAGAACACACACACACACACACACACACACACACACACACACACACACACACGCCTATCTGTACACTCACAAGCTCACTGATAATAAACGAAATCTTAGAAATGAGAGCCTATCAAGCAGGAATCAATCACTGGGGTTTGTTGTCCAGGAGGATGGCGCCATGTGGAGATAAAAGACAGGCGGACGTCTGGGGAGGGCGGGGAGGAGCAGAGGGGAGGAGGGGGAGAGGATGGAGATGGAGGAGGACACTGTTTGTGTGTTCTCATCTCCGTCTTTACTTCATTTGGACTTGACTTTCTGGGTTCGGAACATGTTAGGATGTTCATCTGGAGTCCCAAAGAGCTGAGGAACGCCACTGGACACGTAACCTGAAACGTGCGTCAGTAGCAGAACGTCGCCGAGGAACGGGCGCGTGTGAACAACCCTGAACACGCGAAGGCTTGACTCGGTACCAGGAAGCCGCTCCCAGCACCAGAATCATATGATTAGATGGACTCGCACATGATGCGCAAACTCAGCCTCTGATAGGCTCCATCCGGTCACACACACACACACACGCACGCACGCACGCACGCACGCACGCACACACACACACACACACACACACACACACACACACACACACACGCAGCTGTTTTTATTTCCAACAGCTCTCACACTGGTGTTTTTATTCCCTGGCTGCTCCTTATCGGACCACCAATGACCTCTGACCTCTCTGACAGAATCCCAGTCAGCTGGGGGTCTGCCTCCTGCACACCGATGTGTCTGATAAGACGCTGCACGCAGAACATAAACGAAAAATTAAAACCTTCTCAACAATTCAAGTAAAACCTGGAACCTGACTTTGAAATAACCTCAGCACCGAGGTCCAGAAACGCTCCGGTTCTGGTTCTAAACCGGTTTTTCCTTTTTACCTGAAGCAGACACCTGGTTGCATGTAAACACCTGATCTGGATCCTTATTGAAGATCTGGTTTTAGTGATCCTGAGTTCAGGAATGTTTGATTGTTATTGTTGTTTGGCATTTCTATATTCAGGAACCAGGAAAACCAAAGTGGATTATTGAGTTTCAGCTTAGCAGACTCGGGTCACCAGTCGACCTTTGGGGCATCTTTGGCGTCTAAAGCAACAAAAACGTTCCCCAGAGCTCACGAGGTTCAGAAATCATATCAAATACAACGTTTTTGTTTTCTATCAAGGAAAATAACCTTAAGAAAGAGCATCGGAGGATAAGGGGGAAAGATTTGACGCGTTTCTTTTACGGTAAATATTGTGTCAAAGAAAAGCAGCAGATTTTATTTGTTGTACAATTTCTGTTCAAGTTTTTATCATCTTTTCCAGGATTCCAATAGTTTTCTGTTTTAAAGAATCTTGTAATTTTTAAAAGTGTTAATAAAGAAAAATGACGTAAAGTTAAGATTTAAGGTGTTTTCATTATTCTGAATCAACCAGAAACCGGTCCGATCACGTCGATAATCAGCATTCGGACCTTAGAACCAAGCAGTTCTTACCTCTGTATCCTCAGGTTCCTCTGTGCTGCGTTCTGATTGGATGGCTCCTGGAAAGGGGCCCCATACGGTGTCTGGTCTGAGGTTTCTGACAGCTACCATGCTGCTGTCGCCGCCTTCATCGCTGAGCTGAAGGTCATCTGTGAGGAGGATGGACATCAGAGGTGTGAATGAGTCGTCCTAACTCGCTAATGAAGTTAGGCTTAGTTAGACTCCTGGAGCTCCCACGGGACCTCGGGAACCCTCAGGAAAACAAACCACACGAGGAGAAAACATCTCCTCCATCGGTGAGTGAACTTGACCCGAACCCTAGAGACGGCTCAGACCAGACAGCAGGTTCTGTCGGCGGCTCAACAGCAGGGGGAGTCCTGACCGGCTCAAACTAGGAGGGGGGGGCTTATGTACTTCCTCAAAGTGAAAAGATAAGTGTAGACTGATGGCGGTGACGGCTGTGGTCTGAGCCTGCTGCAGCCCAGATAGAGTCAGATAGCTGGTGGGCACGGAGCACCGATCCATCCATGTGACGACTCCGAGACAGCTCAGAGGGCCGGAGTCTGGAGTTTAGGAAAGTCCCAGAAACATCTGGGGATAAATGGAGCAGCGCTGGATCAACAGAAGTCACTTCGATTCCATCAACAGCCCACAGGAAGGAGGGGGGCTTCTGGTTCTGACCTCCTCATCTGATCAAAACACCCCCGCCTCCTCCTCCTCCTCCTCCTACTCTCACCCGAGGTTCAGGAGTCTGTTCAGGGGGGGTCGGACTAAAGTGGCGGGCCAGATAAGAGTGTTTGTCTAACACTCTCCATGTCAAAACACTCATCTATCTTCTCTGTATCTATCCCCAGCAGAGAACAACGGACAGGCGCTGATAAAATGGCTTTCCCACAGCCGGTTGGGGGTGACGGGGTTATGGGTGGGGGGGGGGGGCGTTAATTTAATCAAACAAGTCCTGGAAGGCAGACGGAGACCGAACAGTTTTCTGTGAGAAACACAACAGGAAGTAGTTTGTTCCTTTTAACTCACAGGTGCCACAGTGATCACATTTTATAGAACTGACGGAATCAGGAAGGGTGTGTGTGTGTGTGTGTGTGTGTGTGTGTGTGTGTGTGTGTGTGTGTGTTTCTCAGAGCAGCTAACTCACATGGGATCCTGACACTGAAGCCAGGCAGACGCAACAGGAGCTCTTCTGACACGTTCTCTCGGGTCGAATTGGGCTGAATTTTTTATTGCGAGACTCGGAGCGGAGCTGGATGTCACAAACGGTTGTAAATATTCAACAGCTTAGCTGCCAGGTTCTGTTGAGTCCAGAGTCCAGGTTCTGCCCATTATCATCAGAACGGGCCTCCGTTTGGCCATGGTGACCCTCCTTATCTCTGCACTCCATCACTGTCCAGAACAACCCCCACCACGCGGGGCACTTATCGGGCCGAGCAGCACCGCTGACCCGCGTTCTGAAACTTCACGAGGATCTGACCTCAGTAGACCAACACTGAGGAACTCATAAACAAGAGGTGGTCCAGATCACAGATGACCCGGTTCTGTTGGGCAGCTTAAAGCCCAAATATTAATTTGGTGAAAGGTTTTTGTTTTCCAGCTGTTCCAGATGATCAGAACCTCTTTAACATCGGTTCGATTTCAAATTAAACTAAATAATGTTGATTCGTTTTCTAAAATAAATAATAAAAAATCATTTTAAGAACCATGAATTACATTTATATTGGAGGTCAGAACGTGATTAACGTCAGAGAAGGAATAGCATCGCTACCGACTGATGAAGCAGAAAAATCTGAAACTACATAAAAATCTAAGTGAAAATAATAATTTCATCTTTTTACTTTAAGTTTAGAAGATAATTGTTAAACTCCAGCAGCTGAACCAAAATAACAACTACTGTCTGTGTGTGTGCGTGTGTGTGTGTGTGCGTGTGTGTGTGTGTGCACGTGAATGCTTGTGTGTGCGTGTGTGTGTGTGCGCGTGTGCACGTGAATGCTTGTGTGTGTGTGCACGTGTGTGTGTGCACGTGAATGCTTGTGTGTGTGTGTGCACGTGTGTGTGTGTGCACGTGAATGCTTGTGTGTGTGTGTGTGTGTGTGTGCATGTGACTGTGTGTGTGCGTGTGTGTGTGCACGTGTGTGTGTGTGTGCACGTGAATGCTTGTGTGTGTGTGCACGTGAATGCTTGTGTGTGTGTGCGTGTGTGTGTGCGTGTGCACGTGAATGCTTGTGTGTGTGTGCACGTGACTGTGTGTGTGTGTGTGTGTGTGCACTTGAATGCATGTGTGTCTGTGTGTGTGCACGCACGTGAATGTGTGTGTGTGTGCGTGCACGTGAATGTGTGTGTGTGCACGTGAATGCGTGTGTGTGTGTGTGTGTGTGTGCATGTGAATGCGTTTGTGTGTGTGTGTCTGTGTGTGCGTGTGTGCGTGCATGTGTGTGCATGTGAATGTGTGTGCACGTGAATGCATATGTGTGTGTGTGTGTGTGTGTGTGTGTGTGTGTGTGTGTGTGTGTGGAACCTCTGAATGACCCCGAGTCAGCCGATTTAAGCCGGTACGTTTTCTCCCTTCCCGAACCCGGGCTGCTGATACCGGGCTGATTGAAATGTCCTTCTTCTCAGGAGCCAGAAGGAGTTGTTAAAGCAGACATGAATTAATGATTGAATCAATTATCAGAGTCACATACCGCACAATTAATTCTGTGGCTTTGCCTCAGTCTTTTTTGCTCTTCCCATCTGTGCGAAGACAGAATGTCAAGAAACATTTTCTAATTAATTTAGGTGTGATAATCGGGGCGAGTTTCTGGAAGGTCTTCACTTTCAATTTGTGACAGACAGCAGTAGACGATGGAGAAGCCAGGGAGACACACACACACACACACACACACACACACACACACACACACACACACACACACACACACACACACACACACACACACACACACACACACACACACACACACACACACACACACAACCCCAAACAAACGTCTGGCCCTCGAAAACAGGGCGGATGTAATCCGGGCCCGACTACCACAGAGCTAGCAAACATCAGACCCGATACAAACGGTGGACGGAAACTCAAACTTCACGCAGGTTTTTTCATAAGAAACCGTTTCAGTGTCACTAAAACCACAAAGACCTGGTCAGTGTGGGTTAAAGTGGGTCAGAACCAGGCGGTGATGCCATCTGGGTCTCTGGCTGTGTGACTGGGGACACTGAGCATCTCTGGAGGTCTCAGCTAATCACCTTCTGTCCGTCATGCTCATCCTGATGTTTAGATCTCATAAATTTGGACCCGTCTACCCACTAAACACACCTTTGGCACGTCCCTCAACACTTCCATCTCAGAGCGTGAGGTCGTGGCCGCATGCTCCAAGGTCACGCTGCACAACTCACTCTCAGTCTGTGTCTGAACATCAGAGGCTCACTCTAACCCAATCACTGGATCTCACCACAGCCCGCCTGCTTCGCATGAACAGAACTTCAGAAGGGCCACGGAGGCTCACCAGTCCTCTGATCTGATGTTTCAGACTGAAAGCAGGAGAAACGTGGTCTTCTAAACCACATTCTGGGTGATCGCAGCCTTGGGAAGGAATGTTGGTAGTTTCTGCGTTTATCCAGGGGGAGAGGAGGAAGAGGAGGGCTCATCATCATCATCATTAGCAGCAGCAGCCTCGTCACTTGCTTCGTTTTCACCACCTCCGTCCTCTGAACAGAACAAAATGCTTTTACACCCCCCCCCCCCCCCTCGGTTTATCTTTCTTCACATATTTGTGAATTTGCATGTTTGCTTCTTGCTCTTTTCTGCTGCTGTATGTATTTTGTAGATAAAAGTTCAGCAGTGCAGTTAAGAGAAATTAGTTGGGTAAACAGTGGTAAATGTCAATGATAAAGTTCTGTTGAAGCTCATCTGATTAGCGGAGCTACGCAGGTGTCTTATCTCGCCTGTGCAACAGAGGGTAAAATGGAAATGATTGCGTGGTCCTGAGCAGGAGATGCCTATCCCAGAAATGTCTATCTGCCGCTGAGCGGAGCCGGGCCCGCCGGACTCCGGGGACCCGGGGGTGCTGCGCGGAAGATCACGGAGAGGGGAAGATGAGAAAGAGAAAAGGAGGCAGCAGTCGGGTCGCGCTTGTTGTTAGACGGAGGCCTTTTTATCAGGCAGCGGTAGGAATGACAAGAACGGTCATTAATGAGAAACGCCAGGTAGGAGGCATGAAAGCAGGCTCCAGACCAAAAACAACTCATCTGAGGCGTCAAACGGAGACATTTCAGGGAAAATCAGAGGATTTCTCAAACCTGAGTTTGACGCTACGTGGACATATCAGCAAGACAAAAACACCTTTAAAGAAAAGAGCAGAAATCAGGTTTTCTCTGCAGGACGTGTCGGTGAATCCGTGCCCGCTCCGCCATGCAGACGTGTTTCAGACGGCAGCGCTCCTGGGGATCAGGAACAGGAGCAGGCGAGGGGGTGTTGGGATTCGTCATTCAGCAGAGGTTAAACCCCACCTATTAGCACGGGGTCGGAGCAGCACCAAGATAAAGATTTCCTGTTGTGTGATGTCAAAAAATCAATAGCTGCGCGGCGATGAGCTCATTTGATATCAACTATGGTCTTTTTAGAAGTCAATTAGGCTCAACGGAGAAGAAGACGAGCGCTGGGACACTTTCTGTTTGTCTGCAACCGTTAACCAATCAGAGGATGGGATTCCTCCCACACACCGGTAGCAGCCGGGAGATATATGGGCCATTCCCATCTGTACCGGGTCGGCCCGGACCGGGTAGCCCCAGTCGGCCCCAGCCTGGCCCGGTTGATTCCACACATCCTTGCCTTAAGCCCATGTGGTCTGATTCTACCCACCAATCAGAGACTTGCTCTAATGGAAGGTGTGAATTTGCTGTCAGCAGTGGGTGTGTTGGCCCTGGTCGGCCTGAAGCAGACCCCCTCGAGAAGAGGGCTGAGAATGAGCCTTGGTTGGCCCGGAAAAATACCAGGCCACCCAGATATGTAAACAACCTACGCTACCCGGCCCAGGCCGACCCGGTACAGATGGGAATGGCCCATTACTGAAACTCACATTTGCTGGTTCTGCGGGTCCGAGCGGTGCCTTAAACTCAGCAGATTAAGGCCCTGTCCACA